CCCCAAAACCCCAAAACCCCAAAACCCCAAAACCCCGATTTTAATAAATTAAATTGAAATTTGTTCAAATGCAGAAGGAGCACAAAACACCTAATGTTCACCCTACACGAAAATTGAACACGAATGGAAAAAGAAGAGAAGATCAAATCAGTTCTAGAGAATATAGTTCTGATGGAGTTCGAGGTAAGGAACAATGATGACAACAACAGTTGACTAAAATATACCCTTAACACTATTTTACTCAATTACGAAAACATTAATGGTATAGAATCCAAAAACAAGAAGGCCATTAAGTATTTCTGTAGCCAGTGAGCTAGTCTATTGAACCCGAATGCTCCAATCGGGTATAAAGCACCAATGAAACCCTCATCTTCAAAATCAGGACAATTAAATAAAGTATTTCCTTCTTAAATTTTAGAATGTGACAGATTATGATTCAGAAATAGATGTCAGGAACAAACAGATCAGAAGACTAGAGAATAGAGTCCTTGATCAAGCATTCACCATAAAAGAACTAAAGAAGAACGTTGAAGTTGAAGACTCCATGAAAGCAATGGAAAATGAAATTGAAGAAAGAGAGAAAATAATTAGTGAAAAAGAAAAATAAGATCATTCTTTTACAAGATCAGGTTAATGAACTTAACGAGCTCCAAAACAAAACAGGTTCAAATTTTCACAAGAAAGAGGGTGAGTTAAACCTAGTACAGGCTGAAAATGAAGACCTTAGCTTAAGAAATCAGCAACTCCTGGCTCAAGTCAAAGAGTTAAAAAATAGGCTATCCAAAGCAGAAGAGAAAATTTTAGAAAAAGAAGAGGATTGGAGTATCAAGTACCATTCAGTAGCCAAGAAGATTTCAGAGCTTGAACAGCACAACAGTAATAACATACATGCTACTAAGAAGATGACAGAGGAGAGTAAGGCTTCAGAGAAAGCAAAAGAAGAACAAGAAGAAAAGATGAAACAGCTCGAATTCCAGTTACAGAAAATTCAAGGAGAACTAAATGAAGCAAATGACTTGAAGAAAATAATGAAGAAAAAACTAGTTAAGAAGAACAAGGGAGAAGAGGAGACAGCAGCAGAGGTTGGTAATAAAATCACATTTTTAGATTGAAAAATTAAAAAGTGATCTCAGGAATGCAATGAATAAGATAAAGCATCTCAAATCCACCAAACTAGCTGATTTAGAGCTGAAGGTTAGCACTTTAGATCATTAATAGGTATCTGAGAAAGAGTCTGAAATTGAAATTCTGAAACAAATGATAAGAAGTTTAAAAATCGAAATTAGCGGAAAGCAAACAGATATTAAGAGACTCAGCAAAAAAGTCAATAGACTTGACCAAGCAAATGATATGAGACATGACTTTATTCAAAATCACTTCAAAAAGACCATAAAAGCTCAAAAGAAAAAGGGGAGAGTCAGTCAAAATCATTCTATGCTGACTGAAAATGACCAAATTGTTCTTCCTCCTCTCAACAATCAAATATCAAACCAGGGTTTTAGTTCTTCTCAAGAGACCAAAACACCTCTGAAGAAAAGAAGAAAGGTTTCGTAAGTTTCTATTCAAGAAAACCTAAAAGGGGTTTTGGGGTTTTGGGGTTTTGGGGTTTTGGGG